CTAAATTCTCTGGATACTAGGACAGAATTTTAAAAAGAAAATATGTATATATATATATATATGTATATATATATAATTATAAAGTTGAAATCCTTAGCAGGATATGTATAGATACATATCCTGAACTTTTACCTGAAACATCAAATAGCTGGACCAGAAGATTCATTTTTGCCTTTCTCTCTGCTTCTATAGATAAACACAGGTTACTTTCATACACGGTGAAGCAAACCACAGCACAGCACAAATTCAGCTGTTTTGATAATCCACTGGGCTCTCCTCACAATGGATTCAGCTGTAGGGTGTCCAGATAGATCAAGTGGACTGGCTTCAGCAAAATTCACAGACTATTTCTTCTGAGCTTTTTTCTGGTTTAGTTATATGGTGTAGGTGAAGCTACAGCCTCATGGATCTCTAACAAAGAGTTGGACCACTGCTTTTTACATTAAAAAAAATTTGTGTATTTAACAATAAAATAAACATTGGTAAGTGGATGAACTCATTTTCCCCAGGACAGACCAGAAAGTAGCTGGAGGAATTTGGAAAATTCTTCAGAATAAAGTGACCATATTTTCAAATCAGTCTGTTTAGAATATAAGAAAGGATACGGCATAGGCAGGACCAGGAAGCCAGTATTACTAGTGAGAATGGGAACTCAGCAGTTCCCAGGCTGAGTCTCCTTAGCCTCAAATGATTTTTTAAAAAAATTAAACAGAATATTCTGGAACTTACTGAAATAGTCTTGGAGCCCCTGAAATCGCAAGCACCTTTAGGAAATGTTGGACAGACAGTGGATGTGTGATAAGGGTGGCACAGATACTATTAGGATGCATGGTCAGAGCTAGCCTAGGAAAAAATTATAAAGTAGGTCAGATTTGTGCCACTTCCCCTCCCCCATCCCTTTGTAAGTCTGTTCTTTTATCAAACTCATCAGCACCTTTCCTGTGCCCAGTTTCTGTTCTCAGTTTATAAGGTGTTAGTTGGTAAGGGTTTACAGAGAGTTCCTGCTAAGGGATTTCAACTTTACAGTGTTTAAATACTGAAATGTTCCTGAAGGTGGTTTAGTTTTGAAGACCAAAAGAATGAATCTGTTCTAATAACATGATAGGCAGTGGGTTGATCTTTTTTGGACAGGGCACCCTCGAAATCTGAAAGGTTTTTAACCCAGTTGTTCACAAACTCCTAAACACCAGGTAAGTTCAGATAAACGCCTTTACAAGGCAGTTTTTTTATAGCTTTTATTCCTGCCAACTAAGTTCAGAACTAGGATAGTCCTAGCCAAAAGTGCTTGTCTTTGCTGACTTTACTTTTGAAAGTAAGGGCACGGTGCCCTGGGATGCATTACCAATACAGGTTGCAGAATCTCATACTCTGGAGCCCCTTACCAGAAAGTAACCTGGGGAGTATAGGTGTTATCCTGCAAAGGTTGGTCTTATTTGTATGTGGTCTTATTCTCTATATTATCAAACTACAGATTCCTTATTTGTCAGTACCTAGTGTTATAGTTGTGTTTCTTGTAACAACTTAACACCATGTCTGGAAGATAGTAAATGTTCAGTAAAAATTGAAAAAAAAAATTGATTAAACGTAATATTTATCAGTCATTTAAACAGGAATCATTGAGGAATGAACAAAATATTGAGGCAGAGAGATGGAATCGAAGAATTCTTCAGCTGTTAAATAGCTTACGGGTAAGATGGTAGGATTTATCAA